TATATATATATATATATATATATATATATATATATAATAAAGTATGTATAATGGTGTGTAACAGAAATCTAGATTTGTCTATAAAAATTCTGTTTCACAAGCATCTAAATCTGTGATTCTGTGCAATAATACATCATATGGTAACGTGGTTTTATGCAGCCTTAAGGTCCGAAAGGCAGAGGGTTCTGTTTGCTGTATGTGGTCCCGAGTCCCAGCCTGGAATCTGAAAGCGTGCAGACTGATCTTCCAGATAGCCCACCTTTATATGGTTCTATTTATAAAAGAACAGTTTTCTTGCCATTTACCCAGTAAGGTTGGGGGAAGGAGATGTGAGGCAGCACCAGCGCTACCCACCGAGCTGACTTGTGCCCCACAACGTTCATTTAACACGACTGAAAATCTATAGCAAACCCAGAACTAATGCGCTTCATTCCACAGGATTTGAACTGCAGGGTTCGTTCATCAATCAACAGCTCGTTCGGTGTTAATTAAGGTGCGGTGAATGTCGCCCTGAGTCAGGGGCTGAGAAATGCTCTTTTACAGGACCACAGAGGAGGGGGAGGAACCTTAGCATTTATCCGCCACTGATCTCACCTCTCCCTCGCAGGTACGGGCCAGGGAGTGATGAGACCCACAGGCCACCTCCACCACCTTCTTGTCCAGGAAGTTGGCAGATAGAAGAATTGGCACCATGCTCTGATTTGTCGTCCCGTTGCCCAACTGATTATAGCCATTGTGTCCCCAAGCAAACAGCTCACCCTCTAGAGGAAAACCACAACAAAAGAAAAATCTGAACTTTGTGTCATTCCACAAAAATGCTGAAGGGAAAGGCTCCCTTTTGAAAACATTTGCACAATAATATCTATTAAAAAAAACTGTCTGGGTAACAGAAAAGCTCTAAACAGTTTAATCAGGGAGCACATTACAATAAAATATTATAACCATATCTAGCTGAATAATTACAAGCCCGCAATGGCACTGGGTAACTGAAAAGGTGCTTGAAGGTAATTGGAAACCCAATAAGTAGAAACAGCAGTAAGGAAAGCCAGTGAATGGCTTCAGAGCCCTGGCTTCAGAGCCCTGGCTTCAGAGCCCTGGCTTCAGACCTTCAGTAGCCAGCATGATGTGTGGCCCGCTGCCGAAGCTGAAGCTGAGCACCCGTTTGCCCGTTAGACATTCCACTTTCTTAGGGACGATCGTACTCTGGTTGTCCCCTGTTCCCAGGCAGTTACTGCAGTTCATCCCAAGCACATAGACCTGTGCAAAAGGGGGGGGGGGAGTGAATGGTAATTTATCCCTTTTCTCAGTTCAAGCAATGGCGCTGAACACCAGTATCTCCAATCACTGCTGTCAGTTAATAAATTCTCAAAAATAAATTGAAAAATGTTGTATGCATGTAAGAAACTTTATTTAAGGGTCACTGCAGCCATTGCAGCTAGTTCAAGAAAATTTAGCAAAAAGAAAAAAATGCAAGGGGATATTCCAGGGAAAATCTACCGTTATCTTAGCCAAAAGGCTGAGAAGCGATAAAGTGCCGTGTATTATTCGTATATGCAGACCAATACACACATTGACTTATGAACTCCCATAAATAAAAATCTAAATTGGTATTCAATGTATTCATGACCGATCTGAATTTATGCAGTTGCTAAGGCAAGACTGAAGCGCTGGGAAAAAAAAACTACATTTTCAAACCAGATAACATGAGTCAGTCGGTAAACAGCCGTTTATGGGCGGCGAGTTGATGTTCACCTCTCTGATGCTCATTGCCTCTCACCTCATTGTCCTGCGTGCAGTATATACCCTCGCTGGCAGAAGTGCCAAAGACACAGGCCTGACGGACGGATGCAATTTCCAGGGGCCCCAGCAGGCTGAGAAGGGGCCACTTGCCCACGTCCACCATGGGAGAGCAGATTGAAGCAGAGGTGGTTGGGGGAGTTGGGATTAGCAGGAGACTTTGCTGGGAATCCTAGAGACAGTGGTCACGGCAAATAAGTGATCATGAGGTTATATGTACATTACATAGAGTGAGCATTGTTAAAATGGGACACTTTCTGAAAATTGCATTCTGGAAATATTTACAGAATCTCAATGTCTTGAATCCCAACATGATACCATTCTAAATACATTAATGCCCCTGGAACGCTATATAGAAGAGAAAATAAAGTATTACTAAACGTTCTACTTAAAGTATTACTAAACGTTTAACTTAAAGTATTAATAAACGTTTATCTGTCTCACTTTCATTCTCAACCCTAGATGTTATCCAAACTATTAGCCTATGCCTATAGATGGCAAGCAAATAGATAAATTCCCCTTTTACACAGAAACACTGTAGCGTTCTCATTTGATATGGTCCTACGTGTATTTAAATGAAACAAATTATCCTTTCCTCAACTGTATAACTTTCACATTTACAACTGCAGTTAGAGAAATAACCGCTTCTCATACATCAGTTCAAATCAAGTTAATCTGATGAAAACAAACGCACTACAAATGTAAGAATTTAAGTATTTATTATGTTCAGTTAACTTACGTCGTAGGAAAAACCCGACTCTAATACGCCTATATGGATAACTCTAAAACTGCACAGATCTCCCGAACAGGGAGACCATCCAGTCTCCTGTTCGTTACTGCCGACTCGGTTCTACTAGAACAATTACCTGAAACGTCCCAGCAAATGAAATGAATGACTACCATGTAATTCTTCTTGTGTTCCGGAAAGAAAATGCATACGAATGATCTTATATGATACTAAATAAGAGCTAGATATAAGCTCCGCAATACAAACCAAAACCAAAACCAAATGATCAAAATAAAACGTAGCCCTCGCCAAAATCTCCGAACATCCCGCAGCAGCCGCCAATTCAGGAAATCAAAAACGCTAAATAAGCGAGATCAACAAGACGCCATTGTCACAAGGTTTATTATGTAAACGAGAAAAAGCCTTTCCTTAAAAAGAGAGAGAGAGAGAGAGAGAGAGAGACGGAAAATCCATTGACTTACAAAAACAAACCAGAATCAGTTTGAACCTCGGCTGCCCTGAGATAGGCGTCCCCAAGCTGCTGAAGCGGTTTTTCTTGAAAGTTTCATTTTGACATTAAGTGTAGATACGTCAAGTTCGTACACGTGTGTAAATGTAAAATAGTTTCTAACTACGAATGCAGAAATGAATGTTAAGTAGTCATGTTAAACCAATTGCTAAAAAGTGTGAAAAGGATAAGCTTTAATAGTTTTCATGTCGGGAATTTTACAAGATGCCATGGGAGAGAGAAATCGTGATAGCGTCTGAGGTGATGTAATCGATTTTACATGTTTGTGTTTTGATGGCTCATAATTGTTTGCATATAACTGATATAGCAGTATTATGATAATTAACTTGAAAAATGTATTTCCACATGCAAATAATTTGCAATATGCAAAGAAAGCAGTACTATATTGCAGGAAGATTTCTCTCTTATCCACTAAATCCATCATGCTATGCTGTTGGGAAGATTGGGCCACTGCACGCACAGTACAGTCCTTGTTTAGACTGGTCTTGATCAGATTCCAACACACACAGTGACACAGTAGGACAAGGCTGGTGACAAACTGCTTACTTGGGACTCCTTCCCTGGACCAAGTCAAACTAATAAAACTTATTCATAATCACCACCCTAATTCTCCAAATTTGATTAAAAGTGTTACGGATGGAGCTGAAAAGACGACTATGATGGTGGTGGGGCGGGGGGGGGGGGCTGGGTTCTCCAAGGGCCCCTGAGTGACAGAGGCCCTAAACAAATTAGGTGAATGATTGGATTGGTCTAGAGGCACCCCTGCCCTCAACGTTACCGACATGGTGTTTGTAAAATATGCCATTAATCCGGTATATTTATATATCAACATGTCATTCATCTTATATATCTCATATAAACCAAGGGTTTTAGTGAGGAACATGCAAAAAGCAATGTTTGTTAATTGCAGCCAATTGTTCCAGTCAAGCCTTACTACAATACGCACAGCTTGGCTCTAGATGTCAGTTATAAACCTTATTTCTGGCTTAATTAAGGCTTCAAAAACAGATTAGTTCTAAGGTTGTAACCTGGGAGGGAGGTGTCATGAAAAAATGCAAATTATAGTGAATAATATGAAGTTCTCAGTTTAGATGCCAGGGCTTATGTAATCCATCTGTAATGTCTGTCCCTCTCTAGATATCTCAAGGTAACCAGATATATTTTCTTTGTAACTGCAGATATGCATTGCGGGGAAAAAAAACTCCAGGGTGTTTATACCCAGGCTGAGGTGCATCATAGGTAAATGTGAGCAGGAAAGTGGCATTTTAGGGGAAGGAAAACAAAACTTATACTGTGGAAGCCTCACACAAAAGATGATACAGTCTGGAAATTTCATAAGAACATAAGAACTATACAAATGAGAGGCGGCCATTCGGCCCATTGAGCTCGCTTGGGGGAGTTGTTAAAATCTTATCTAGCTCTGATTTAAAGGAACCCAAGGATTCAGCTTGCACTACGTTATCAGGAAGACTATTCCATACTCTGACTACACGCTGTCTAAAGAAGTGCTTCCTTAAATCCAGTTTGAAATGTTCTCCCGCTAATTTCCACCAATGCCACGAGTTCTTGTATTTGAACTAAAGCTGAATTAACTATTTGGTTGAACAGCATCCAAACCTGTTAGAATCTTATAGACCTGGATCATGTCCCCCCTCAGTCTCCTTTGCTTGAGGCTGAACAGATTTAGCTCAACTAACCTTTCCTCGTATGACATTCCTCTAAGACCAGGAATCATTCTTGTGGCCCTATGCTTCATGGGACACCTTACTCCATTACCTGTGCATTTCGAGATGGGTCACACCAAGTACATCAGAGAATATACGCCCTGTCTTTGGTCAAATCTACTGCTATGCTTGGCAGGACATTTTGCCAGTTAATATGTCTGCCTAAGAAGTTAGCAAGTTGTCTGTAGAACAAAGCATTGTCACCTTAATTCAGTGTTTATCATGCTACAGACTGACTGTAAGGTAAACTAATCACACAGCAAATCCTAGGTTTCTCCTACATAAATGCACACACACAGCCTACTATTCTCAGCTGCTCATTGTGTATTATTAGGGTTAGTAGTAGTACTGGTGGTAGTAGTGAGTGGTATATATACAGCATATATTAAAAAAAACTACAGAGAATGATTCAGTGCTTCCCATCATTAATTAAAAGTCATTCGTTTTTTTCTGTTTTATTATTCAACAGTTCTGGGGGAAAATACTTCCAGCAGGGCCTCAGTGTAGAGAGGGGGACAGGCCCAGTACTGAGCCCCCATCATCCAGCGATGCTTTCCATTGTCTCAGCTCTCAGCTGCTTAAGAGGTTGACCAGTAAATAATGCTGCTGTTTTGGGGGGTGTAATTAAACTCTTTATGACCATTATTGCGAATCCCTGCAACAGACAAACTCAAGACCCAACTGGTCCAAATCTATACAACTGAAACTGAAAATTCATAAATAACACGAGTTATTTATAAAATAATAATAACGATATTTTGCTATAAAGAAACCAGAAATGATTAAACACACAGCAATACAATATAGTGGGAAGGGGGACAAAATCTAAATACAAAGGTATTTATCGTGGGGGCATGAATGTAGCCAAATTAAATGTTATTGGATACACGTGCTTCTGGTCCACAAGCTCCTCTACATATGGAATGCAGAAAACGCTTAAAATATGGGAAGATATTTCACTTTAAAATATCAGTCAGGAACCATTTTAGGGGGGAGGGGGAGGGGGAGGGGGAGGGGGGAGGCTTGATTGTTTCAGCCGCCGCAGGAAGTGTCGTCTCTGCTGGGCTTTCTTGGTTAGACGACACTTCCTGCGGCGGCTGAAACAATCAAGCCTCCCCCCTCCCAACCTCACTTCATTTCATAACTTAGTACTGTAATTATTAAAACATTGATTTATTGGTTAGGTAAATGCACAAAGTGGAAGGAAGAACAGTTTAGTTCTGCAGATGTATCATTCAAACTTACCAGGGGAAGTGCAACCATCAAAGGAGTCCCATGGTGAAGTGGCGATGTTTTATTGGTTGCCCAGTAATTGGACTTTTCAGTATGGACCAGGTTGGAAAGGGGGATTTTGTGTTTTTGTTGTGGTGACTGGGGATTAAGTTGGTAAAGTGTGTTTAATTTTGCTAGTTAATCAAATTATGTGTATTATCCTTTTAACTGTTAACAAGAGGAAATGCGTTATGTTTGTTAAATGTATTGTAAACTGTGTTCTTCACCTTCCCCCCTTTAGGGTTGTAATGGTATAGGCCATCATTATTTAGGTATTACAATGAAGGGTGGGGAAAAAATATTGACCGATCAAATACCTGAGGTTACTGAGATTTCAGTTTTGGTATTATAGCCTGGATCCCAGTTTTTTTTCCTTCCCTTTTGTGTGCTGGGTGCTGTGGGCGAAAGGGTATTGAATTTTGGGGTTTATGTAGTAAGATATTTGAAATCCCTCCTGTCTGTTGAGGCTTAACCTCTGGTTTTTCATGGTGTCTTTGCTCAAGCCATCACACATATGTACATATTCGCTTAATAAGTCATGCAAAATAGTATTTTGTTAATGTAGCCCATTCATTCTACTTTATTAATATCGAAGGCGGCAAAGGGAGATTTCCCCGCCTTACTTGTCATTTCTTTACATAAAGATTTAGGCCTAACTACTAAATTCCAGTCTCTCCATTCCCACAAGGCATCAGTTTTCTGGCTTTTTCTTTTACCTCCAAAATTAACAGGTGCTTGATGTTTTAAATGACAGCCTTAGTCTCATGAACAATTTTATATGACGTGGGGCGTCATCTCTGGATTATCAGGGTTCATCTCGTTTAGCTCTGTTGGAACCTGCTCCCTAAAAGCCCTTCGCTTTATGCGACACTATAAAAGCTTTGCTTGAAGGTTGTTTTCCTATTATAGTGGTTTAACTAAGAAAATCTCTATGGGTCATGATTTCAAAGTTTAAACTGGATGCATTACTATAAAACAGAGAGGATCCAGTTCTCTATAAAGACTGAGCATAAAAAGCCATTGATTGGGAATTCTAATGCTTAAGTCCTCCCCCTTTCTAAAGCCCTGTATATTTATACCGATAATTAGCTGTTATTAAAGGAAGCGTTAAAAGAAGGCAGTACAGCTTATGCACAAGCAGGGTATGAAAAGCAGCTGGGTTTGATCCAAAACGCACTTCTGACAATGGGATCTATTCATGCCGTGATGCGGGGAGACCGCGGTCTTGCACAGGTTCGTACGCCATTTCGCATCTTCTTTTTTGTAATTCATGGCAACTAAAATAGCTTTGGATGTCGACTTTCGGTGTAAACAAATGGCGTTTCAGCCAGGGAACATTTCCAAAACGACGGCTGCAGAGAGGCTGCACAGACCCATGACGGACCAGAAATGATCTGTAAATGAACATTGCTTACATAGTATCAGAGGTTCACCATTTGCAAAAATAAGGTAGAAAAGCAGATATAAAAATTACACAGAGACGTCAAATCAGGACACTTGAAGCAACAAGGAGTCAATGGCTAACAGCAAGTTTTATTTTGGTTAGCATTAATACAGAGACCATGTCCTGAGGGAGTGATGGAAGCGAGACTTCATGTGGCCGCTGAGGCTGGTTTAAGCCCCTCTGATTGGCGATAGGTATGGCTGTTTGGCGGTATGAGAGTGGTATGGTCAGAGGAGGAAGGGAAGAGTGGCAGTGGAATACAATGGTCAGCCAGCAGAGCTGCGGTCCAACAATCCTGCTCTGCATTACAGAAAACAGAGAGAAGCCCTATTGGTAGTGCTGTCCAGTGAGAGCAAAACACCTCCCCAAATAATCCATTTCTTACACACCTCCATAAGTTAGGCTTCAGTGCTTAAGAAATGTTTTTTTCCTTGTTGCTTAGAAATGAAAAACAAAAGGCACAATGAATTTCAACTCATTCTTATCTTTAATATGCACAAGAGTTGAAAGGAACAGTGAGCCACCTTAAAGAGAAATTCAATCTAAAATTTATAAAAAGATATAAACAATCAGAGGCCAAAATGCTGTTGCTTTATTCCTATTTAAAACAAGTTTTTTTTAGCAAGTAAAAATCTTGCAATGAACAGAAGCTTGTATCAGTTTTTGATACAAGACTAAATTGCAATCTTTAAAGTGGCTCTGTTTAGGTGTCTAGACTCGTCTAGCTCTTGACTGTACACCTGCTAACGGCTTGTTCATCAATAATGAATGGTTAGTCCACAATGGCCTGGCTGCTTGACCTGGCTTCACGCGTCTTTTCAGTAGTTAGCAGCCATGACGCAACTACATTAGTCCAAAAAAAAAAAAAAAAAAAAAAAGGGTGAAATTTCCGTTTACAATCTTCTTTTACAAAATAAAATGCACGGGGAAGCGAAGGGAAAAAAGTCCAGTAAGAACAGCGAGACCCCCATGTCTGGGAGCGTTACCTCACCGCGTGGGCGTGCGCGTGGGGGGAGGGCAGCTCGCTGGCCACGTCCGCGGCAGGCTGTCACCCTGCGGCGTTCCGGTGACTGGCAATCGGCTGCAGCACACACTTAGACGGGCGCTATATTACTCGAAAGTTCAAAAAGAAATGCTTCACTTGTACGAGCAGGTTGGTAGCGGGTAGTCTTTGAGGAAAACTTGGAAGGGCAAAGATACGCTGTATAGTCAAGGATCACAAGAATCACTCATTTCTTCGCAACTAATCTGAGGGCTCCGCTTTTTACGTTAACACAGAAAAAACTCAGCCGATATACACGATTGATGTGTTGAGTGTCAGACACTCCACACGTCAAACGGGAACAATTTATACGACCGTTACTGCATTCTTAGTGATTTTAACGTAAAATGCACAATGCTAAAAGGAAAACA